AAGTATCTGGGTCTGACTGTTAATGCATCTGGAACACTAAGTAATGCTAAAAATGATTGTTGTAACAAAGCCAAAAAAGCCTATTTCAAACTTCAAAAAGACTTTCTCACATTTAATCCATCAATTAGAACTGCTTTAAATGTATTTGACCACACTATTAAACCCATTATCCTGTATGGTTCGGAGTTATGGGTTTTTTTTGACCCAACAACCTCTAAATTTAAGAGAAATCCAAATATAACACTAGACAAAATATACCAAAGCTTAGAAGGCGAAATTCTAAATCTTAAATTTTACAAACATTTACTAATGGTTCATGGTAAAAACAGCAATTTTGCTGTAAGATCTGAGCTAGGACGTTTGAATTTACATTTTGATGTCATTAAAAATATGTTGTTATACTGGCATAGATTAGAGAATCTAGATGGTGAATTTCCCTTGCTTAGTGAGGCTTTTAACTGCTCTAAAACACTACACCAAAATGGTTTTACTTCATGGTATTCTTGTGTTAACTTCTTACTTAACCATATTGATATTAAAATTAGTGATTTCCTAGGTATGTCAACCCTACAATTTAAAACCAATTTGAAAAGAATATTACCGAATTTCTATAAATTAAAATGGGAAAAAGACAGGAATTTACATAAAGATGGCAAATTGTCTACCTTTACCAGCATAAAGACTAAATTTTGTTTTGAACCTTATCTAGATATTCTTACAAACAATCAACATAGATCAGTTTTAACAAAGTTAAGAATATCGGCTCACAGGCTTAAAATTGAAATTGGACGTTACCAAAAAATACCTAGAGAGGAACGAATTTGTTCACTTTGTCATCACAACGAGATTCAGGATGAAATTCATTTTCTCCTTGTATGTCCTCATCTTAATGTACAAAGACTTGAACTCATAAATATTTGTAAAATTAAATGTAAAAATTTTCAATCTCTATCTTATGATAATCAATTTTATTGGCTCATGACTAATGAAGACCCAGACATCCTTAGATCACTTGCTGCATTCCTTAGTAATTTACCTTAATTGAAGATATTGTGATAAGCATAAAAAATTATATACCTCTTTCCCAGTTTCTTGCCCTTAACTATATATATATATATATATATATATATATATATATATATATATATATATATATATATATATATATATATATATATATGTATAAATTATATATATTTGTATGTAACTTACAATACAATACATGTATGTATATTCAGTATATCTCATATACTTTTTTTGTTTTTTTTTTAACAATTGCTCTTTATTTGTAATATCATCATCATGTTTGTTCTATCATTTGGATCCTCCTCCTTCTATTTGTAAATCTTTTTGCTCCTCCGGGGGCCCAAATTGGATTAATAAAATCTTGTATCTTGTATCTTGTATCTTGTCACTTTAAAGTACATTAGTTAGTCACGCTTATAGTGGCAAAATATGTTTTTTTATCAATTCAATCTATTAATTTTCAACACGTAATTCGATGTTAATGACTTTGCATGAAAAAGGTGAAAAATAGCTGCTTAGCCTGCCAAGAATGTTTTCTAAGGCATAACGTACTTTGTTAATGTGAAACATATGGAGATAACGAACAGAATTCAAAATCAAAAGTCCATAAAACAATTCAAAATAGAAGCAGAGCTAACATGGACCTTCAAAACATCAGAAGTGGAATCAGGTGTCATGGAGGACTGAGCATCCCCTGCCCGAAGGACACACCCGTCATAGTCAGGAAATAACAGAAAAATCATCAAATGAATGTGTAAATGATAACCTAACAACTATTATGATACAAGTCAGTCAGCATTTGCTGACAATGTCATTGTATCGACCAAAGAATAAACGAAATGATGACTTAAGGTGTTTCCCCCCTCACAATTTTATAGGTTCAAAGTACAAAAACTGCATTCATTTTCATTTAATATACTTTAAATTTTCCAATTATTACAAAAAATGTATAGGTCACTATATTATTTAAGATGCGAAACATAAATAAACAGATGTGTATGTCAACAACAAAAAAATCGCACATTTTTTGAAAACAGTATCATAAAAAATATGTAAAAACTGGTTAAAATGTATAATTCTGATGCTGAATGTTCTTAAATATTTCCTACTCAAAAGATACTTTTGAATTGTGAATATCAGGAAAACTATTTTACAATAAAGCAAATGCCTGAATGAAGAGACCCTAGAAGGAGTAATTGCCCTTGTCAACATTTTTTAAAGATTAGATAATTGATCAAATATAAAAAAAAATGCATTTTTTAAATTCTTTAACTTAACAATATTTATAATTGCACTTAATGTAAATCATTTGTCCATGAGATATTGTTATGCCCCCCTTCGAAGAAGGGAGGGCATATTGCATTGCTGCTGTCTGTCGGTCAGTCGGTCGGTCTGTCGGTCCACTTAGTTTCCGTTCATTTTCTTCGCAACCGTTGCACATACCGAAATGAAATTTGGTATACAGATATCTCACATGAATATCTAGGTCAAGGTCTGTTTTGGGTATGATCGCACCATTTTTGACAGAGTTATGCCCCTTGGACTTAGAAAAATTTCAACTATTTGCAGTTTCCATTCATTTTCTTTGCAACTGTTGCACATACTCAAATGAAATTTGGTACACAGATATATCACATGAATATCAAGGTCAAGTTCTGTTTTGGGTACGATTGCACCATTTTTGACAGAGTTCTGCCCCTTGGACTTTTCAATTATTTGCAGTTTCATCTCATTTCCTTTGCAACCGTTGCACATACTGAAATGAAATTTGGTGTACAGATATATCACATGAATATCTAGGTTAAGTTCTGTTTTGGGTAAGATCGCACAATTTGTAAGAGAGTTATGCCCCTTGGACTTAGAAAAATTTCAATTATTTGAAGTTTCCGTTCATTTTCTTTGCAGCTGTTGTACATACTGAAATGAAATTTGGTGTACAGATATATCACATTAATATCTAGGTCAGGATCTGTTTTGGGTATGAACGCACCATTGTTGGCAGAGTTATGCCCCTTGGACTTAGAAAAATTTCCATTATTTGCAGTTTCAGCTCATTTTCTTTCCAACCGTTGCACATACTGAAATGAAATTTGGTATACAGATATATCACATTGATATCTAAGTCAAGATCTGTTTTGGGTACGATCGCACCATTTTTGACAGAGTTCTGCCCCTTGGACTTAAAAAATTCAAAATTATTTGCAGTTTCCATTCATTTTCTTTGAAACTGTTGCACATACTGAGGTGAAATTTACAATACAGATTTATCAGATGACTATCTAAGTCAAGTTCTGTTTTGGGTACAATCGTGCCATTTGGACAGAGTTATGCCCTTTTGGACTTGGAAAAATTCTAATTTAGGGGGAGGAGGGCATAAGTGTTTTACAAACATTTCTTGTTCTATTAGGTATGAATGTAAACTAATTACAGTTTTTGCAAAAACCTATGACATCATAGGAGAATGGAATTACTTTAAACGAGACTGCTGATATTTTGTTTTATTAACTCGTTTGTCAATAATTTACCGCGGACTAGAAATTATTCATACGTAGAGTAATTATAGTTATTGAAATAAATTTAAGCATATTTTTGGTATGTAAAATAGTTTAAAAATAACATATTTTTATAAGAAAATGTAGAGCCTCCAAGGTCATGACGATCAAAAGGTCAAAATAAATGGTGCTCAAGGTAAACACGGAAATATGGAATCCCTATCACAAACTTGCAATTAACAAAATTGTTTATACGCTTGTAACAATGAATACATGTGCGAAATATGAAAGTCATTACACCATCTGCTCAAAATGTATGCCCAAGTTAAAGTTTATGTTATTTTCAATCACCGACATGTCTACGGTCAAAGAGTCGAGTTGTTGCCTCTTAAGGGAATGTCTTAACAAGGAATGCGGCTGTGAAACAGGACAGTTCAAGTTATGGCCAAAGTTAATGTTTTCAAAGGAAGATCGAACTTCAAGATCAAGTTCAAAGGATCAAAACTGTTGGCACCCACATGGTATACGCCTGTGATATGTTCCGTAGCTTCATTTGGCAAATCCATTAATGAACAACAATTGTAAGAAGTAGAAAATATATGGAGATAACGAACAGTATTCGAGTTTAAATGTCAATTTGATATTTGAAAAAAATAGGCTGGATGCAAGCACCGACCTCTAAAACATCAGAGTCAGGATCAGGTGCTATTGAGGTTTAAGCATCCCCTGCCGAGCGGTCACGCCCGCCGTGTGCTTTTCTTTTTTTTTGTGTGTAAATAATAAGTTTTTCTTTATCTCATTTAAATAGTTGCAAAATCTGTAAATTTTAAATATGTTCTTTCATTAAGGATAAGAATTGAAGAAAGTATGTTACTAAAAGGACATTAGGTACTACTGGGGGATACTTGTCTTAGTGACGAAGTACATTTATTTATTTAAATCATTTTACATGTTGAAAATTAATGTCTATGAAAAAAGTATATTTTTATTGCAGGCTGTCCTCTAAAGTGACATTTTGATCCGAAATGAGAAACATATTTAAGTAACACCATGAATAAGGATATTACAACACAACTTAAAGTGCTTCAGTGCTGTCAGTGTCAGAATGACGTAGGATTTTACTGTAGACCATGTAAACAAAATCTGTGTATGACATGTAAGCAGAAACACGCTATGTACCTCGATACCAAAGGCCATGATGTCGTTATTTACCGTTTAAAGCATGGGGACTTTATAATACTAGAGTCATGTGATATACACCCAAACTGCAAATATAAAATTTGGTGCAAATCCTGTGAGTGTCCCACCTGTGATAGAACTGATGAACATCAAGGACACGGAAATCTGGATATCGTATTAGCCTGTACGGTTCAAAAACAGGAACACAGGGAAAAAATTATTCAGATTAGAGGCGAAAGTCTCCCATACAATCGTACGATCCTAGCAGGCCTCAAATCTGACGTCAAAATAGACGGAAAAACATTGAAAGCACAATTTTCCAGCATCCAACAAGAGGTTGCAATTAAAGCTGCAAACTTGAAAAAACTTATCGAAATACATAGTAAGGCACTTAATGATTTACGTAAAACAAATATTTTTATGGATTTTGTATTGAAGCATCAAAATATAAAGGAATATGTACTTAGATACGAGAAACTAGCGAAGAAGTCTGTCAAGTTTCTGCAGTTCACAAAGAAAACCCCTGTCCCCAAGACAATAGAACTTCCTGATAACATAAAATGGGATTTTAGTAAAGAAATAAGTATAAGGGACATTTTTGAGCTATTGGTTGACATCAAAACTACAGAGTCAGGAAAAAGACAAGTAAGAAATGAACATTTGTTGAGGCTGATAAAAGGGCCTATCATAAATATGAAGGATGTTGTTGTGCCTAACTTAAATCAAGGTGGACACATTTCCTTTGTGACACCAGATAGGATTTGGGTCCGTGATGGATGCAGTCTTATTTTGACAAAGTTCTGAAGGTAAGAATCTGCATCATTTGTTTGATGTTCAAAATCACTATGGAGTGCATACGGTTAACAATGCAGGAGAACTGATTTATGCAGACACAAACTTGAACATTAATAATCTAAGTGCAGACAATGCTACGAAGTCGACACTGATTAAGAGATTAGAACTATGGGAACCACTGTGTATCTGTTATGCACCTTTCACTGGAGATCTTCTGGTCATGATGAAGTTTAATGCTAGAAAGTATATTGATTCCGAGGTGAAAGTCATTCGGTATAATAGCAGAATGCAACCAGTACAATTCATCCAGTATGGTAGCTTAGGTCTGCAATTATATAGTGGACCTATCTATATCACGGAGAACCGTAATGGAGATGTTGTTGTGTCTGATAAAATCAGCGGATTGGTGGTCACAGATCTTAAAGGAAATTATCGTTTCACTTACAGAGGACCACCAAAGGGATCCGCATTGATGTTCTTTATTCCATATGGAACCTGCGAAGATGCATTCTTAAATATCCTGATCTGTAGTCGAACGGACCAAGCAATACACGTGATCGACAAGGACGGCCATCTCCTATCAATTCTATCAATTTTACTAACAAAACAAGATGGAATGGTTCAGCCATTAGGTTTGGGATATGACGAGAAAAATCATCTTGTTTGGATTGGATCTACAAACAACAACAAACTGTGCGTCTACAGATATATTGAACGACAAGATCATCTTGCAGATATTTCATAAACTTCAATTTGCTAGAAATATATACAGACATATAGACAAGAAGAGCTAGGTCATTGTATCATCGGTATGAATTGTAATTACCTGATCCATGTAAAGTACATTGAGAGATAATATTTGTATTCATATTTTGTCTATAAAAAAAAAATTGGAAATTCTGATTTTTTAATATAACGAAGCTTACATGAATACTTTGAATTCTGTGAAAGATTTTGCCAAGAAATGGCGAATCCTGAAAAAAAGACATTGACATTTTGTATGTTGGGCTATCATGTCATGATCTTTTTTCTAATCGTCATCTATATGTATGTCACCAATAATGACATATCCAACAAGGTGAAGAAGAACATAGACATGCTGGAGTGTTATGTTTTAAATGTTCGATTCGACATCTAGGCACCGTAGAATTGTTTTTAGTATTTAAGGATAAAACAAACTTTTCCCGTCAAATTTCAGATGTCATTGCTAATGATCTTAACTGAATTTATTAATCCCTTCACAAATTTTCAATTTTATACAGAGATATGAGGATAGACAAAAAGTAAAATTATCAATATAGATCTTTACTAATTCGAGTGTGTGTGCTTTTTTTAAAGTAATTTTTTGTTATAAATGTACACTTTTCTTAAAAATGGATCTTTTTTCTGACTTTATTTTTCTCAGAATGCAATTTTATTTTTAAACTGTAATTATTCTTGTTCTTGTAATAAACAACTACTTATTTTCTAAATATTTTTGAATAAAACCAAAATGTAGGGAAAATTGGCAACAATCTGATATATTATAGGGTTTATCTTACAAATTATTAAGTTAAATAACTTCATCGGAAAATAAATTCCAATCATGTATTGAAGTACAATTGAATTCCAATATCAATTTTTCTTTCTCGCTTTCACTTAAAACGGGTGTTATATTAATTTAGGAATGTCTGTTCGTCCGTCAGTCCGTCCGTCTTTCTGTCTGCCTTTCACACTTTCGTTCGTTTCCTCGCGATATCTAAAGAAGCCTTTGAGCTTTTGCAATGAATTTTTACATCCAAAATTCAATACGAGTCCTCCTTAGGCCACAGGGAGAAATTTCATTGCCAAATCTCAATGCCTTGAGATATCACGCAGAAACGAAAGTGTTACAGACAGAAAGACAGCTAGACGGACGGACAGACAGACCCAAATTAATACCTCCCTTTCAGTGAAAGCGAGGGAATTTTTTTTCTTCTAATATTTGAATGTGGTATCAGTTCTGAAAATGACCACATAACAAAGAGTAAGATAAGAAATAAAAGACAAAATTATTCAAAATGAAATTAGACACCAACACAAATTTATTATTCAGAATCATGTCTAAGAAATACAATTCAAAGCTTACAATTTCATGACCTACAAGTAATCAACGGACCAAGTTCAATCAGCGTTAAACCTTGTTGCGAGTGCATGTAAATTTTCCAAACATTTATCGCATAAGGCCATATTATTTATATATAGCACTTTTCCAAACCAAACAGCAGTAGTTTGTGATTTTACATCATGCCTCCTGCGTTTATGCCTTTTGAGGTCATTTTTTCTTTTAGCATGGCTGTAGGAACCAGAAAGGAGGTGCCCCCAGTAATTTTGCAATGAATAGAATACATCTTTGCTGAAATCCCTCTCTCAGCTGAATTGCAAAAATAAACATCGATGTAACCAAATAAAACATTCCAATGTAAAGCTTTCTAGCAAATGAAAGCTATTGATTAAAATATTCAGTATTGTGTTTGCAGTATTGCGTTCTTAACAAATAATTATAAATTATTCAAGTGCAAATAAAGATTTTTTTAAAAATAAAAATCAGTTGAAAATTACAGCAAAGATGACACTTAAAATATGTGAATATTCCTATGAAACAAAGTATTTATTTTTCAATGAAGAGCTGGCTGACAGTTTTTCATATCCTGTATATTCTTTATTTTTGCGAGTACTAGTCTTATTATCGCGAATGGGCTCTTCAAAGTCAAATCGCGAGAATAATAATTCGCGAATGGACGGTTGGTCAAGAGATTTACGTAGATTTGAGCTCCATAAAAATAAAGGCGAGTAATTTTATTTCGCGTGTGGTGCTGCTCGCAAAATTACGCGATAATCAATTCTATATGTACATTTGGGAACCTGACTTTTTTTCGTTTGCCAGATCCTGATGAGGGCTTGGTGAGTTTGGCCGTATCCAGGGAATGGTTACTCCTCTTCCCACCTAATTCTATATTTGATGCCTTGGACACCCACTCCTGAATTTTAATGTAAGTGTTTGTTTTGCTCCCAAATTGCATTGTTTTATATGTAACAGACTTGAACTTGAATTAAGTTCCATATTTCTATCATTTATATTATCATCCATTTATGTAACAATCAACAGCCATATATTAAAAAAATTATGTGCAAATTTTGTTACTTTCTGTCATGAGAGGAAGATACTTCAAAATATATATACCCCATTTACTCACATTATTATAATATTTTTGAATTATTAATGGATTAAACACATGTAGTAAAAACATTGAGACAGCAATTTTTTCATAGTAAATAATTTAAACAGAATCCGTATATTGCTTTCCTGAAGATTCCTCGTAAAGAGGATCACAATTTGTTTCAATATAAAAAAGGGATTCAATTCAATATACATGTAAATACTAAGTAAAAAAATTCTTAAGTTTAAATATATATACTTGAAATACAGCATAAAAAGTACATCGTTATTTATTTTTTTTTTAATGCAAAAGAATGACAACAATATTTGTAATATAATTCATCATAACGTACATGTCCTTCGTAAGAAAATTTTAGAAAGTGATAAATAACAAATGAAATGTCATTATCATCAGTATCTTAACATAAAGTATGTGAAAAGATGAAGGCGTTCTATTGTGTGGGATTGTAGGTCATGGGTTAACTAAACGTTAGAGACATAATTAGGTCTGTTCAGGTATATCTTGTCCGATTGTGTGTACCAGACCGTGACGGAGTGTGAAGAATTTATCTCTACTTATATTCTTCTTATCCAGCTCCTCTCCAAGCTTTGTCCGAGGTTCCAAATAAAACTGTACATATAAAAGTTAGAGTTATTGTCGAAATCTATTATTTAGAAATCTATTAAGTGGTTCACACAAAATAACTTAATAATGGCTACCAATATTGAATTAAGGCCAAATAAAAGTCTGACATTAGTATAACGGACCTCTTTTATCATCCTGAACGTTCCCCAATGTATACCCAAGGCATTCTTTGCTCCAATGTCTTCAAATATTTTCACTGCCTCTTCCGGATCTACATGAATAGGTCTCATAGACCACCTATATGATAAAGATAAATTAAATTCTGTTCATCTTCATCATTAGAATACCAGGAGAGAGAGAGAGAGAGAGATTGTCAGGGGTCTTGTTACCAACTTCTATAATGTACGAGTTCAACTTTATTAACTTTTTCTATGAATCAAAGACTATTTTATACATGTAAGCTTACCTAGGATTGTAGGCTCCTATTGGGATTGCAGCCAAGTCTATAGGACCGTACTTTCTTCCGATCTGTTTGAAAGCACTACAGTAGCCTGTATCTCCAGCAAAGTAGAAACTCTTAGTGGGTCCCTTGACTATCCAACCACACCAGAGAGCCTGAAAACATATCCAAAAGAATACAATGATTCTTTCCTAGAAGGAATAGAAATTCATAAGAAAAATTGCTGTGGCTTAATGTTTAAGCAATTTCTAGCACTTGTTACTATTCATGAATTGGATTCAAAAACTTTTTTTTGCAACGTTTACTTGTTTATATAAAGCATACCTCTGAAAAAAAATCCAACTATTTATAATCATTGCCAGTTTGACGTTTACCAATTATTTGTCCTTTTTGCCACAAACTCTTACAATTTACCTTCATATAATCCCATAAACTACGTTGACAACGATGTTGACAAGGGACGCTAGCAATCTTAAAATCTGGTCTTCCAGGTAACTCCGCTTCTTCCCACCATGACAATTCAATCACATTCTTACAACCTGCATTCAACATCCATTCTTTCGTTCCTGCTGCTACATACCACGTGATCTTATCACTGAACTTGGAATTGAGGCTTTGTACACTACCAAGGTCTAGGTGATCGAAGTGGTTATGACTGATAATAACACAGTCTATATGTGGTAGATCTTCTATTTTGCAGGGTGGAGGACGGTATCGTTTTGGTCCCATAAACTGTACAGGGGAGCACCTATCCCTAAACATTGGATCGGTGAGAATAGTAACCCCGTCCATCTGTACCAACACACTGGCATGGCCTATCCACATTATTTGAAGCTCAGATTGTGGTGGGTTCCGTAATTTTTGGAAATTGGGGTTTTCCACTGGTAGGGTTTTATCCAACTCCTTTCGTGAAAAAAAATTAAAAAGTACATGGTCAATTACTGCACAAGTGTATTATATAGAATGTATTATATATATCTTTTGATTTTCGTTTCTAGAAGAAAAAAAATGAATTTGTCCCCAATGAAATTCGAAACACTTAATTCGCACGAAAAAAATCTTTTCCATAAAACTTTCTTGAAGTAAGGATGATGAATCCATGTACGTGAAACTGAATGCACTTGAGTTTTCTGCGTAGCATATAATTCATAATTCATTGTAGCATTCTTTGCATGATTTATGAAAAGAAAATTTGAAAAAGGTATTTATGATGCAGCAATTTCTCGCAACAAACAAAATAAGGTCATCTTAAAATTCAACCTATATTTCGTCAGTCAATGCCAAAATATAGACGGTGCAACTGTAGATATGAACTTTTGCAAGCATTAATGTAAAACTTTATCCCAGGATGAGCAAAATACAAGATAACTGACTTCAAATAAAAGCAAATTTGAGCTCGGATTCAAGATTGAAAGAGGGTATTTCAAGACAGTTTATATGTATTTTTTTTTAATATATTAGTAACATAGCGTGTATTTTATTTTGGTTTTATTAATATTCCTCATTTCTTTTTTCCAAATG